CCAATGCTCTTTATTTTGTTTCCACGCTTCCACGATATCATGAAATGCTGATGTGCTTGATTTGTAGTTCATGACCCATAAGAACATTACATCATATATGTTTATTAATGTTTCCAGACTTATCCAAAACACTTATTTAATCCTCAGTCATTGAGGTTACTTATTTAATTTAATAGTCAAGTCTGTACTGGTTACTTTAGAGTTTTCCAGAGTAATTCAGACGTTTTCTGAATTTCGAATACATATTGTACCTTCGTTCAGTTCAGTTCAGTTCAGGTCAGTTCGGTCTTCGTGGTTGATTTGTCGAACAAATATACAATTTTTAGTACTGAATGAGATCTAGAGTTGAGTTGAGTTGAATACTTCCAAAATTATCATCGAGCCAAACTTGAGAAGATGAACACACATTCAAGTAATATCTATGTCCTTCAGGTACTGACATATCATTAAGATTGATCAACTCACTTAAGCTGTGTTCCATAACTTTTAAAGGTAGTCCAACACCTATGCTTATTTGGATTCTTTAATTAATCCAAGACATTTACTTAGTATATGCCATAAGGGTATTTTGGTCATTTTAGTGTTCACTTTTATTCCATTCATTACAGAGCTCGAGGATATCCAATCATTCTGGTGTATTTCAATTCTTTCCTTCAATACGATCTTATTATTTATTTCAAACGTATCATCTTTTCCAAACCTTTCGAACAATTCTGACAAAAGAGCATCCTCGATAATTTATTCTTAACTCAGAGATTTTCAGGTCAATTATCTTCTCAGAAGTTACCAACAGGTTATTAGGAATTTGGCGCAACAGACCCCAAAAACGGATTCAGGACTTCAAAAAACGTCAGGATAGGTATACCAAAAAAAAGTCAACGGCCGGTCAATACCGACCAAAGTTCTGGTCAACGGTGGTTAACGGCAGTCAATGGCGGTCAACGGTCAACGCGATCAACGGTCAACGGGTCGGGTCGAACAGTCAGGTTGGGTCTGGTCGGACCGGTCAAACCGATTTTTTTTCCTTTCCACACGTGCACCAGATCCTTCCCCACGCGCAGGGGCGGCGCGTGCGGCGTCGTGGAGTGTCCAAATATTTCCGAAAAAATTTCTAAAAGTTAATTTAAGGCATTTTGAGACACTTACCAAGATCGGTTCACAATTTTGAACGGTGGAGAGCTCGATTCCGAAACATCGAAAACTTTGACTTCCTCACCCCTCCACGCACCGACGACGACGGAGACACGGATGACACCGGTGGACTCGGAACGTTGCAAGGAACACGATGGTGTGGGAGGTGTCGAAAACGGGTAGCCGGATCGACGTGAATCAATGAAAAACCAACGAAAATCGAGTTAAAACGACGATACTTTCAACTGAAATTATCGACAAAAGATGCTGATTTACGATGAGAGGTTTAAGGGTTTTGTTCATCTTTCGACAATGAACACGATGGTGGTTTCGGTTCGTCGAACGGTGGCCGGACGGTGAGTAGATAGGAGTTTAAAGTGGGTTGATCGGAGGAGGAAAATGAGAAACATTTCTGGGAACTGAGCAGAAAGGGGTTTATAAATTTTCTCTTAAAAAAAATAGTTAAACTATAAGTTTAGCCACTGAATTTCCAGTACTTTATAAAACGGTTTACCTACTTTACAATTTTACAATTTAATCCTCAATTTCCTCTAAAATACCAATTAAATCTAATATTTTATAATTTCTTAAATTTTAGCCCCTAAATTGAGGTGTTACAATGATACACTCTATGAATGATCTATGTCATTTGAATGTATTAGTATACATGATCATTGATGGGTCTAATCATGATTGATACGATGAAGATCGCTTTGATCCTACATGAATGTTGTTGATAGATGAGATTATTATAAAATACGTATTATATATAATAAAATTTGAGCTGAAAAGGCATGAACGATGATCGTCATTGGTTTGTACAAAAAGGAGAAATTGAAAAGTATTGGGGAATGAGGGTTTTTTTGGAAGTCTAAATAAAAGGAAGGATAGAGGAGGCCGAGAGGGTCACTCCAAAACCATTTGGGTCGAAGCAATCGTAAGAAACGATGGATGTTGAGTAGCGTGGAAGGGATGATTCGGCTAATAGGATTTAGGGATGCTATTACAGTTTGAGGAAGAGAGATGAGATTAAACAAGTAAAATAAAAAATAAGATTACTTAATATACCCACCTCTAGATTTAAGATATATATAATATATTCTTAGAGAAAAACAATTGACATAGAAAAAGAAGAATGATTGGGAAAAGATCTAAATTAGCTTAAATCTATTAATTGAATCTCTGTTTCTTTAGATTTTATGTTGTTTGACGGATACTTTTGAATTTTCTAGAATATGATGAAATTGGCACATGTAAATTTGTTCATAAATTTTTTAAAACTAAAATCGAAATGACATAATGTGTAAATTTTATAGATTAAATTTATATATTTTTTTTAGTTTAAGACATCATCGCCCATTAGTGACTTAACATAGATGAAAAAATCCTTTTTAAAGTCGAGTGACTAAACTAAAAAATTACTAATAATCGGGCGACTGTGTGGATAGTTTACCCAATTATAAAAGTACGAAGAATACAAGGCGCAAGCAACCCTAAAGTAAAGCAAAAGAAGGTTAAATTTGAGCTGGCCAAAAAATAGTTGGCACGAGTAAAAAAAATACATAAATTTCTTTAAATAGTCACTTCAGTTTTATTTTGAGAATAAAAACGGTCTTATATATAGAAATAATTGGTTAACAAATAACTTATTTTATTAATATGAGGTAAGTATAAGATAATATTTGTTCAAAGATAACTCTTAACCATTTGACATTGCATACTTAGACATATATATTCATGGTGTTACCTCAAAGAATAACAATAAATTTTTTACCACCATTGTCGCTTAATTCGTGCGGTTAACAAATAATAAATGCTTCAAAATAAGGGCATTTTTACTCTAAAATAAAATGTTGAGGGTGAAAATACTCTATAAAAAGAATAAGAGTTATAGTGACTATTTAATTAAACATCTAAGACTTCTATCTTAAAATAAAACATTCGAGACTAAAATACTTTAAAAAAACAAAAATTAAAATAACTATTTTGATAAATATTAAAGATAAATTTTGACATTACGCCAAAAATAATTGGAGCTTATCTTTCTTTTATATATATATATATAGAGGACATTATAAACATGTAATAAATAAATGGGTAAATTATTTAAATGATCACTTAATTATAGAATTAGTGTCGATATGACTATTATTTTTAAAATTTCGTTAATATGACCACTTAACTATTTAATTAGTTTCAATATATTCACATAACATTAAAATTTAATAGAAGTGCTTACATGATAATTAATAAAATTAATATAATTACATATGATAACCACCACCACCACCACCACCACTACTACGTCGGCGCAAACAAGTAATAAATGAATGGGTAAACTATTTGAATGATCACTTAATTATAGAGTTGGTGTCGATATGACTATTATTTTTAAAATTTCGTTAATATAACCACTAACTATTTAATTAGTTTCAATATATTCACATAACATTAAAATTTAATAGATGTACTTACATGATAATTAATAAAATTAATATAATTACATATGATAACCACCACCACCACGACGTCGGCGCCGTTACCCCTTCACTCTCCCAGCTGAAACTTACACTGAATTGCTATAATCCACCATGAAATCCCCACCTTTCTTTTGGCTACTATTCTTACCCTCTGTATCTGCGCCTCTTTCCCTGATAACCCTCCTCTTCCTCAAATTATTGCTCCCTTTAGGCCTCCAGAAACCCCCCTTTACCACTCCATCAACTGATGAGCCAACGCCTCCCTAGTACGATTCCTCCGACGAGACGACATCACGGGGAGAGAGTAACTTTGTCGGAGTCAAACGACAGTTGAACCGATCTCTGTTACCTCGAGAAGTTGATCGTTTTGTTCAACAACTGCTTTACGGCCACCCAAATTAATAGGTGAAGCCTCTATAGCACTTTGCACTGAACATGCCATTTCAAATTCCACGAAACCAAAACAAAACCCTCTTGGCTTTGAACTTGAATACCGCCACTCTTAATAGGTTCAAACTTCTTAAATTCATTCTCCAGCACGCTTGGTGTAGCATTCAAAGGTAAACCTTTGATGTAGACAGAAGGGACCTTCGGCTTCCATACCTTGATTATTTCTATTTTCTACAACATTGTTGCTAGAAATTTGTGAATCAGATGTTATTGCAGAAGCAGCCGGTGGTGCAGTTGCTCGTGAGGTTTTGCAGAAGATTTCACAGGGGAATGTTTTGGGATTGATACATGGATTACATTCTCCTTCTTAACCTTTCAGAATAGATGCATATGATTTCTTTGGCACTTCTTCGCTTTTGGAGTTAGAATCAACAACCATCTGTTAATCGTCAAGAATCTCATCAAGAATCTCAATCACTGGCGCTTCCTCTTCTTCGTTAGAACCATCACCGGCGTTTCAGCTGGGAGAGCGAAGGGGTAACGGCACCGGCATGGTGGTGATTATAATTCAGCAGGAGCTGTAATTCTCAAGGACTTGCCGTGTAGAAGTCCCGGTTTAAATGTTTTATTTTTTAATGATTAAAATATTATTTATTCTACTTTTTATAGATTTTCAGATTAAAAAAGTTAAAATTAAGTGGTAACATAACATGTTGATTTATTAACGGGTTGATTTATTATATTAAATTAAAATTAAAATCAAATTAATTAAATGTATGAGTATTGAAAATTAAATATGTGATTATATCAATTTTGTTAAATATCACGTAAATATTCCATTAAATGTTAAATATAAATGATTATATTTAAATCAATTAAATAGTTATATTGATAAAAGTTTAAAACTGATAGTCATACCGATATCAATTTCATAATTAAAGTGATCATTCAAGTGTTTTACCCTAAAAAAAGGTTAGTTATATCCTTGTGCTGCGAGTTAGACTTCGAGTACCAGCAGAAGAAGGAAGCTAATTAAAAAAAAAAATCTGACTTGAATATCCATGGCAGCGGCGTCAACGGCGATTCTGCTCATGGCCCTCCGATCGGAGAGTCGGAAATCCAACGGTTCTGTTCCCCTTTTACTCCCTAAACCCACTTGGGTTGTCAGAACCGAGGTCACTTTTCTTTTCTTTTCTTTTCTCATTCACCGTCTTTCATTTCTCCAATTTCGTGGAAGAAATACAATCACACCAAATTTAAATTTCGTTTTCTGCTGCTAAATAAGGATGTACTTTGCGACTCTCGTAGGGTGACTTGTTGAAAATTTTATCAAGTATTGTTCTTGTTCCTATGTTTTAATTTAATGTTTCTGTTCATGTTCTCTTTAATTTTTTTTGTTCAAAGCTCAAACCCACGTCACGTACATAGTTCGATTCCGTTATCAATTAATTAATTGTGATGAAATCAGTTGCTGAGTTTTGGGAAACAATTAAATGATTATTAATAAAATCTGGGTTGGCGGTGGATGTTAGTTTCTTTTAACTTATGTTTAAAGCATGTTGTTTGTGTCATCAAAGCTGAAATCATGTTTGTGGTAAATTACGCAAGCAAAGGAATGAAAAGTTGGAGGTCAGTTTGGTTCATTGGCTTGTGGTATTTTGCAGTCAAATGTTGGGCGAAAGATAATGAAGAAGCCTGATCCACCATGTGTTGTCTGCAAGGGGAACGGCAGAGTGGATTGCTATAATTGTTACGGAAGAGGTCTTTCTCTCTCCTTCTCCTCCCCTAGATATTTCATTAGGGTTTATCTCCAAACACCATTTTAAGTAAATAAAAAGGGCAAACTACACCAATTACCACCGAACTTTAGGTGATGTATCATTTATACCACCGAACTTTCAATTTTACCAATTATAGTACTAAATTTTGATTTTCATTTCAATCATACCACTAGGCCATTAAATTGTGAGTAGCCGGATCAAAACGATGTCATTTGAGTGAGGTGTCTATGTCAATAGCCGTCAGTCGCACATTATGTTGTTAATGATTTAAGGGTTCAATGGTATAATTGAATATGAAAATCAAATTTTAGTGTTATAATTGACAAAATTGAAATTCAATAGTATAAGCAATACAATACTTAAAGTTTGGTGGTATCTGATGTAATTTACCCTATAAAAATGTATCCAGTTTGTACTTTCTTTTTTACCAGTTCTGTTGCTTCGATCATAATATGCTTCTCTGTTTTGATTTGATTCCCTCTCTTGGATTTTTTGTTTTGTTATAAATTTACTGTAGGAAGGACAAACCATGTTCATGTAGAGATGCTTCCCAAAGGAGAATGGCCAAAATGGTGAGGTATCAATAGATATATTATAGGAACTGCATATTGAGTGGTGGTAGGTAATGGTGCAGCCAGCAGCACAACTGAGCTTATTGAGACTACATGTGCAGGTGCAAGAGTTGTGGTGGCAGTGGCCTCAGCTACTGCTCTCGTTGCCTTGGAACAGGAGAATACAGGTATATAATAGGCTTCAATTTCATGAAGCGAGATGATGATGGCACCCAAGGTACCAAGTATCAGATTAAAGGTGACCGTGATTCACAGAGTACAGCCGATCGGTTGCTTCATCATGAACAGACTGATGATTCAGATAATTAGATATAGAGGAAGGAAACAAACATGCATGACTACAATCAAGTCTGATGAGATTCCCATAGCAAGTTTGTAACCCAAGTAGTGATTGGATGTTGTCCATGACTTCTCATTTGGCTATGCAAGTACTTAAATTGATTAAAAGAAAACATTTACTTTTATTAACACTGGAAATTCCATTACATTTTTTTATTTAAAACCAAATACAACCATATACAAACACATAATCCGAGGAAAAAAATAATAGCATTCGATTGCTGGATTTCATTCATTCCAACTTCTGTGAATACATAAGACTACCTACCTACGCACTGTAACACTCCTTCCGAGTACAAAAGATAATGGTTTGCAGGCAGATTCCCACGCAATTCCATAAAAACGAAATTGCCATTTCCAGAAATCAATCAATGCCCAAGGTTGAATAGGGTTCAAACCCTCCCTGCCAATCATAAATATTTCAATATAAATAAACTCTCAAAACTCAGATTAATTCAGATTAGAATAACTTGAATAGAATTTAGAACATAACAAGCAACAACAAAATACATTTCCATGAAATCCACTAAACTGAAAAGGCATAACTTTGAATCCTTCTAATATATCTTTTATATATTTATTTAAGGTAAGCCTATTGCCCACGATGCAGCAAAGCAGATCCATTCAAAATTAGCTATCGAAAGACATTAAAGCTTATAAAAGAATTTGCAACAGATCAACACTTGTATCAAGAGATGAATCAATTTTGCTTTTCAATTTTCATGTAAAGAACAAAATTTGATTGTTTATGTTATATTATAGATTATATATAAAGGTACTACTTACAGAGCAGTCATCATGAACACGCCATATGGTCTCTCCCAGAAGGTTTGCCACAGAGAGGACTGTCAACTGAGGAAAATAGTTCTGCTCCAACACTGGGATGGTGTTTGTTATGATTACTTCTTGGAAAAGACCACTTGACAACCTCTCTATTGCAGGAGGACTGTGAAACCAGGCAAATGAGTCGATACAATGATGAACATTTACAAATATGATAGGAGATAGCAATTTTTCCTGTTCTTTTTTCTCAAAGAACATACAAACAAAAAGGGTTAGTTACCAAAATCAAGCCATATTGCCTAAATAGCATCTCAAACACAATTCATTAATAAACACAAAACCTTAATAGTTTTGAGCAGAAAAAACCTTCTAAAGCTGCTCCAAGAGTATTTAACAAATTCTAACTTTTAAGAGATGTCCAAAACCTAGCCCAGGTGAAATTGCTTAAACATGTATTTAAGGAAGCAACTTCGGCTAACAAGATTTAAACCCTAATAAAAGAACAACCAATTCCCACATACCTAAAGACAGCATGTGTAGTACACGCATACACTTCCCGGGCCCCCTCTTGATGTAAAAGAGCTGCACCTTTGGCGATTGTTCCTGTGAAAACCACAATTCGATAGTTAACATCTTATGAAGACTCAGTAACTAGCATTCTCATGTTAATGCTGATAAAGCAGAAATAATAAATGGAAAGGCTAATAAATTTTGATTTTTAATATACGGTCGCAGAAAGAAATATGATTTGAAATCACATTCTTCCCAAGAGATAAAGAGAAGAATACCAGCAGTGTCAATCATGTCATCTACCATCACTGCAACCTTTCCTTTCACATCACCTATCAAATTCATGACCTATAAGATCATATTTGTTCGTTAATTTCTAGTTCAATTTGAGAATGCACCATATTACTTAACAACAGAAAAGTGTATCGAGAAAGAGAAGCTTGAAAATAGAAGCAAATATTGGACAAAAGATTGTTATTCTAATCAACTTCAAAATTTTTCCATTTACATACAAGTGCACAGCGACTACTTTACATTATTTAAAATGTTAACCTACTGAGATTATGCATAAGACAACTCTGATAAATTAGATCCCACCTCTGCAACATTATGCCCATGACGCCTTTTATCAACAATAGCAAGAGGTGCATCAGATAATTTTTTGGCAAAAGCACGTGCTCTAGCAACACCACCAACATCAGGCGAGACTACCACCAAATCATCAGAACATATTGTCTTGCTAGCAAGATAATCTAGAATCACAGGCTGGAATTGCAGAGTAATATTTGAAGTGAGCAAAAAGTTTATATTGAAAATGTTGCTGATGTAAAACAGGCCAGTGTCAAGAACTGATACAGGAGTAGCTAAAGAAACAGAATACAAATATGAAAGAAACTCATCATAGCAAGATTACATTAAGGCTTTTCATAAGTACTAAAGTCTAGATTCTTGAATCATACAGTATTTCTGCTAAATACTTATGTCTAATATTGATTAGCACCTCTAAACATAGAACATCAAAGTAGTACAGAGAGCATGTGCAAAAATTACCAGCCCATAAACATGATCTACTGGGATATCAAAGTAACCCATGGATTGCCCTGAGTGAAGATCACAAGCAAGAACACGATTTGCGCCTGCTTCAGTAATCAAATTTGCTACAAGTTTGGCAGCAATAGATTCACGCCCCTGAGTCTGGAAGAACAGTGGATAAAATAACAAATCAAGCAGTATCATGTGCTCAGTGAGGAATGCGTATGCAGAGCAAAGCTATCATCTCAGGCTGTGCCTTTTTCATTTATAGGACACCTAAAGTTTCATAATATTTCTTACTTTCATTTGGATTCAGGGAAATGGTTGAAAGGGAGATTTGAAAGTTCTGAAAAAACAAAGCCATTATGTTGTACTTGAACAACAAACCCACAAGAAAATAATTCAACTAAATTGTTTCCGTACTTTAATTGAATTAGCATTTTTGGAAATAATATGAATAAAACATAATTGGACTACTTGCTATTGTTTAGAACAGTAAGAAAGGATTTAGAATTTTACAATTTAAAACCAAACTAGAGAGAATAATAAATAATAACTCAACTAGAAATCTGGAATTGAATTCCATTTGATCAAGCATTCCATAGTGTAGAAGTGCATAATTTAATTGGTCTTGGTTGAGTTACCTTTCTGTCTGCCCGGGCATAGCCAAAATAGGGAATGACAGCAGTAATGTTCTTAGCAGAAGCCCTCCTACAAGCATCAATCATAATGAGAAGTTCCATAAGATTCTCATTGGCAGGGGGGCAAGTGGGTTGGACCAGGTACACGTCGCAACCTCTCACACTCTCTTGCAACTGGACATAAATCTCACCATCAGCAAAACGTTTTATCTTGATTTTCCCAAGCTCCAGACCCATATAGCGTGCGATTTCCTATCCAATATAGATATAGCAATTACATAACTCATGTTCCTGTATACCTAGATGCTAATTAGATATATAACCTAAGCAATCTGAAAGAAAGAAAGAAAGAAAGAAAGAAAGTGTTTTGAGTTGAATCTAGAACCTGAGAAAGAGCAGGATTAGCAGTGCCAGAAAATATACGGAGCCTCGTGTCGTTTTTGTTGACATCACTTTGGAAATGGGAATTTCGGGACAAGAAGGTTGGCAATGCAGGGTCAGTGGTGAGGAGAGGAAAGTAAGGCTTTCCATTGTCGAATTTCAATGGCTCCACCACATTACATCTCTATAAGAAAGGGAAAGTCAGAGTTTAGGCCCGAAGATTTTGTTAGATAATTAAGGGAAAACAAATAGCAGAAACTCTAAATTGAGAGAAAAAGAGAACTCACGAAGCGGTGCCGGAGAGGGAAGCGGGGGTGGGAGTTAAGGAGAGTAGCGGAGGAGAGTAGCGAATTGGAAGAACAGAGGCCGAGCAGAGACGACGCCATTCATTCACCCTTATATTTAGTCAAATCAAATCCTTTTAGGGTTAGGGTTTCAATTTGAAAGGATCATCATCATCTTCTTCTCATACCATATAATAGTAGCAATAATTCAACAGTCAATTGGTGATTCCGAGTTTAGTTTATAGCAGTCGGTGTGGGTGTTATGGTGCAATGTGCTTGCCTGGGAGATGTTAGAGATTTTAGGTTATCAGTTATCCCAACAACAAAACTAAGATATTTTTTGTTTTGTTTTTGGGAGGGGCATATGTTATTCAATTTAGTCCATTCAGTCTCAAAAGTGTAAGAGTATGCATAAAAATGTAATTTTTTTAAGATTTAGAGGTTGTTTGTTTACTTCAGAATGATTAAGTGTTGAATGATTCAAATTCAGTCTGTATGAATTAGCTCTGAATGTGACATGCTGTTTGATAATTGCTCTGAATCATTCAGAATGTACTTCTAAACTATACTATACTTTTTCTTCATTTAGGTACCTAAATTTTTTTCGATCAATTTAGGTGATTAAGGTTATAAATATTATCATTTTAAGTGTCTCGATCGTAACAGCCATTAAAATATTTCGTTAAATGACACGTCGCATTTATATAATTTTAAAATTTTTTATTTAAAATAAAAATTAAAATGTATTTTTTAATAAATTCCTAAATTTTCAAAAAAACTTACAAAAACTCCAAAAATTTCGAAAACCCTAATTTCAATCCCTATATCCACATCGACCGCCGCTTTTACCATCGTTATCGTTGACCGAATCTATCCTCGACCGCGAGTCCACCTGACAAATAGCCTTACGAAACCCCACCCGACGTTAAACCCGACGAACCAAACTGCTACAAATTACGACACACAAATACTATGGCGGTCATTTCGACAGCAAGGATAGTGACGACCAACAAGAGAGACGACAAGAGTGGCGGCAGCGGTGATCATGTTCAACAAGGGATATTATAAGTTTAGGATTGATTTTAAGGATTTTTAGGGATTTAATACTTTTTGTAATTTTAGAGAAATTATAATTTTTTAAAATACAATAATATTTTAAAGTTTTTTTATTTGTTTAAAAAAATAATCAAAATTATTTGAATGCGACATGTGTCCTTTAATGGACTTTTCAAAACACTTAAAATGGTAACGTTTGTAATATTAGACACCTGAATTGATTGAAAAAAGTTTAACCACCTAAATAAAATTTTTTGTATAGTTTGTGCACTTTTTATACTAAGCATTTTTTAATAGTTTAAGATGATTACAATATAGTATATGCTCATAATGTTTCTTAATTATTGACAAGGCACACTCATCCTATAAAAGTAATTATTCAAACCTAGGACTTCGAATGAGAACGACACTCTTTTCAACTACTGCTACCACTTAACGAATTCACATATAAATGTGTTAAGACACTGAACATTAATTAAGTGCAAGTTTTACATACTTTAAAATATATGGTATATTTGTGAATGTGATAAATTACTAAAATGATTAAATTGTCCTTGTTGGCCAAAGTGAATGAAATGATCTGCGATAATAAAAGAAATCAGTTTGGCGCTTGAGCAAGGATCTTCGATTTAGGGTTAACTCGGCTTACGCCAAATTTCTTGAAGATGACTGGGACATGACAAACAGCATTTGAAACAGTTTGGAGTTTACGAGTTCCTCAAAGAATCAGGTTCTTCATCTGGCTCGTCCTCAAGGAAAAAATAAATGACCAACTATGAGAGTGGCAAGCGTATGTTAACGGATAATTTGGATTGTCCTTGTGGTGCCTCCCTCGAGACGGTTCTCCATGTCTTTTGGGACTATGTTCAAGCCCGCCAGCTGTGGGATAGGGTTATGCCTCCCATATTGAGCCATACCTTCTTTACTAGTGGCCTTCGCCAGTGGATTGTGAATAATCTCAAGGTTACAAAACCTTTGAATAATGATTATCCATCTTGGTCATCCTTGTTTATTTCGATAATGTGACAGTTATGGAAGCAAAGAAACGAGCTCGTCTTCACTAATGTTATACATCCCACTGTTTCAATTCTCCACCGCAACATTAGTTGGACGAAATGTTACGATAGCTTCTCCTTTATCCCTTACAGACATGAGTCACGAATGGTGGATCAATCATGGAGCAAGCCTCCCACAGGTTGGTTGTGTTTAAACTCTGATGGAGTAGTGTCTTCGTCCGCTGGTGAAGGTTCGGTTGGATGTGTTATCAGCGATTCGGATGGAGGTTGGATAGTTGGTTTCAATAAAAATATTGACATAAGTTCGATCCTCCAAGTTGAGCTTTGGGGCATATATGAGGGTCTTATCATTGCTCGGAACTCTGGCCATTCCAGAATCATAGTGCAGTCGGACAACTCTCAGGTGATCAAGATGTTCAAAGAAGAGAATTCTGATCGGAACCAATTTCCACTCATTCGTGCGAGTTTACGTGCTTCTGCATAGGAGCTTCAATTCCAATGGATACCACAGTGCAAAAATAATTTGGTTGATTTTATGACCAAGCTTGCCTCGAATCATCATTTTGACCTAGTGCAATATGTTTCCTGTCTTGTCGAAGTCATGGATCTTCTCGCTTGAGACGCTGCAGCAGTACAGCCGGTTGCTACAATCTAATATTTAGACTAATGTTACTCCCATCTTCAATTAAAAAAAAGAGTTTACATGAGTAAGAAACGTTGCTAGTACTGACGTGATTAAGGAAATGATTAAAATATCCTTATGAGTAGGGGTGTGCAAAAAAATCTAATTCGATCGATTCTATACGTTGATCCAATAATCTAATCTAAAAATTTTAATATTCGATCTATTCTTTAATTTTTAGATAATTCAGATCAAATATATTGGAAAACAGATATTTTGATTAGATGCATAAAATTTAATTTTAGATTATCTAAAAGTTGGATAAAAAATAAACCTTTAGAAGATTTTATCCAAACCGAACTATCCCAACCAACTAGCTCGCCCCTAGCCAAAAATGTACAACGCCCTGGCCTTGAGCCTTATCTTGCAGGATTTGATTATAAATACAACGATCTTTATAAGGTTGAAATGGGTCTTCACTTATCGATATGAAGTTTAAGCATTTGGTTTTTTAGATCTTTAGGCAACAAAAAATTCATTATTAATGCTAATGAATACATAATTTGTACTAGTTACATTTTACGCGTAAACACTTGTAAGAATGTTATTTCTCTCTCTCTCTCTCTCTCTCTCTATTTTGGCCTTACCTTTCATCTTCGTTTATATTATTTTGCCATGCAGGAAGATTGATCAAAACTTCTCCTCTGATCCTTTACCAACATTCATTGGAATGACACATCAATAACTTGTTTTGGGATTATTCCAGTATGTTTTGATAAATATACATAACAGAAATAGAAATATAGAATATGCTGTACAGAGTTACAAAGTATTAAATTGGCATAATGTCAAAATTAGCCTTCAATGTTTACTAAAATGATCATTTGAACTCTATTCTTTTTTTTTTTTAGCATTTTAGCCCCCAACTATGGATGGAAAAAAGATCCTCTATGGATGAAAATCGTTAGTTAACAATGGTAAACGCTCCAAAAAAATGGGTATTTTTACCTTAAAATAAAATATTGAGGGCCAAAATACTCTAATAAAAGGAATAATGGCCAAAATGACTATTCGATCAAATGTTTAGGGTCTTTTGTCCTAAAAAGAAATGTTGGTGGCTAAAATGCTCCAAAAGAGAATATGGACTAAAATGATCATTTTGATAAACATTGGGAGTTAATTTCAGCATTATACCTAAATTAATTTGAGTTTCAAAAAGTTTTCAAATTAAAGTTTACATTCAAATTGGATACGATTTTAGTGATCCAAAATTTTGAATATATGAAATTGAGAGACATTTTATTCTCCTCCTTATTCAACTTGATAATCAAGAAATTGATCCACAGTATAATCCATTGTGTGGATTCTGAGAATTGGTCTGCTTTCAAGCTTGCCCAAAATGGTACACCAGTCTCATATCTCATTTTTGCCGATGGTCTTATCTTATAAGAGAAAGCAAATATGGAACGTGCTAATACTGTTGATGCACCACTGAACAAGAATTGGGTTTTACTCCAGTCATATGGTAAACAAACAGAAAACGTCAATTTTTTTTCTCCGAATACCCTTTCTCTATTAAGGAATGCTCGATGCACAAGATAAAGATTTAGGGAAGTTTAAATCTCGGAAATACCTTGGTGTACCCGTCCATCATTCAGGTAGAGCTAAAGAGGTTTATTGATTCATCATTGATAAGCTACGCAAAAAACTTGATGGGTGGTCAGCTCGTGCATGCGCTTTCTTTTGTTGTTCAGCTAACTCTTGTAAAACCGATTTTAATGAGCATCCCCTCCTATTTGATACAAGTGTGTGAGCTTCTGGCCACTATGTGTGATGAGATCGAGTAGATTGTCCGCAAATTTCTTTGGCTTCAAGAATCTCTCTAGTCAATTGGGAATCATTGAGCCAACATTTTGTGCATGGAGGACTAAGTATTCGGAGAATGCGAAATCAGAACTTTACGTACTTAATGAAGATTTGTAATAATCTGGCTCACTCCCCTAATGCTTTATGGGTGCGTTTCTTCTCAAAAAATATCATATGAACGAATGGTGTCCAGCATTGATTGCTCAGCGAAATTGCTCATCCTTTGGCATTCACTTGTTGGAATCTGACCTATTTTTTATGTGAATATTGTCTGGTCCTTAGGCAATGTTATCTCCATTCACTTTTGGCATGATCTTTGGAGCCCAAACCTTTGTTTAATAAGTAATATGCTACTTTGCCAGCAGACATTGGCGCCACACTGAAGGAAAACGAGATGATTAATAATGACGAAAATTGGGATTAGAACTAGCTTCAACAATTACTCAGCCCGAATGCATTTCCCATTTAGAAACATAGAACCACCAAATGCTTCTTTTGGTACTGATATTTGCTGTTAGAGAGGAGATGCAAAGAGACGTTTCTCGATCAAGAGTGCTATCTTCGCTTTAGATAGCCCGCATTGGGATGTTAAAGATCCTTATTGGCATGTAATCTGGAAGCACAAGGTCCCAGAGGGTATCCGAGATTTTCTTTGATTAACAACGAAGGATAAAGCTCTTACAAATC